CTCTAAGGTTAATAAGACATTATTGAATGGGCTTATCCCACGATTATTTGGCGCAGCCCCACCTTTTTCGGTTTGTTCACTATGCTTTCTTACAATCAGAGTCTGCATAGAAGCCTTCTGCATCATTGGGTAGCTCTGCTGATCACAAGATTATTTTCTAGATAAGTAGAAACTGTCACCGTGTCTTTTCATTGAACTTTCGAGCATAACCTTTACCGGCCTTCGTCATACGCACGCAACTCGTCCTCTCTCTAATTTTGCCTGGTATCTGGAATCTAGTACTAGAGAGAGTCCGCTTCATCGACGCGTGTACAAAGATCAGCAATGATGTTATTATTATTCTTACAATTATTTGTGCCCGCCCCCTTTATTCTTTATTTTTCCTTATTACCGAGTCCCGAATAGAACTAAAAAAATTCAGCGAAAGAACAAAAATATGTTGAAGCATGTCGCCTTCTAAGCGTATTGTGGTTTGACGTTCATCCGACTCCAAATTTGTTGTAGTAAATTTCACAAGAACCCGCCTTCTACAGTCCTTGTCCCGTTCTTCGCGTTTCTTGAATGGCGATAATTTAACGCTTTTATCTTAACAAGGATATCAATCAGCTGGGCAGCAGCACTTTCCCAACAATAGGACGGGCATACGACCAGTTGCTTGCCCACAAATTGCGGTTTCTGGTCTGTTTTTCCTGATTGTCAACAAAAAGAAAGGCTCTCACAAGAGGATGTTGTCTTTCTTTTAATAGAGCTAGTTTTTATGCACTGCGTGGGTCTAAAACCAGCATAAAACATCCATAAGAAAGTAGGTGAATGAATTAGGGCACATTTATACAGCAAGTCGTTTGCAACAAGATCGAGGCTCGCACTCAGTTGAACCTCTGGTGAACAGATATTGTAAAAAGATTGTAGCGAAACTTTAAACCATATAAATCTCTCTCTATTTCAGTCGTTATCAATGGCTGCACATGGCTTGGGTTACCGCATCTCCCAACAAGTCTTGCCCACAATTCCATGGTGTGTGACGAGGATTCAAGAGTAGGTTTTAGGTGTAGCCGTGCAACCTAGGAGCGGGTCTACATCTAAAGCAAGTCCCCTTCGAAAGAGCTGCAAGTATCTAACCATCACCTTTTGCTAGTAGCGTAAGCAAAATACATTCGATATTGGTAAGGCCAAATGCAGAAGGATTTGACTCTTGAGATATTTCGAGCTGCCACCAATTAAGTTTAACCTTGTTGTAACTAATTATTTCAATTAATATTAACACATTAGGAAAGGCCAATACTCCTACACCGTATGAAGTATGCCGGCGAGGCCACACAGTCCAAGAGCGATGATTTGCGCCATAAACGTCATGCAAGACACCTTGAAGATGTGTAATTTATACAATTACATTGTAAGTTTATGTGCAAAACAACTCGATGGAAAACTGTTTCATAAGCACTTTTCAATTAATACAACGCTTTGAACTCACTGCTGCAACTGCTACAGTGCATTCAACGAGACAATGGACGTTGCAAAAACGCATTCAAACTACAATAACTAAATATAGAAGAAAAATATAAACAATGCAAAAGAAGAAAATGAAGAACAAGCAAATAAAATCTTAACTATTTAGTATACCACTAAATAAGCATTAAAAGATTTAATGCGTTGAGGCGACAGAAATGAGAAACACATACATACATACATACATATGTAATCGTATGTTTGACTGTATGCAAGTACGCGCACAATGAAGAGTTGACGCGTAAAGCGCAGCTTCACTGTTTAAATGTTTGGATTTTTATTTCATGTGTTGTTGTTGTTGTTGTTGTTGTTATATATTTTTATTATTTTTTTTCTTGACTTTGCAATTTATTTCGTTTATATTTGTACTTTTCGTTAGTACATCTACTTATACTATGCATTAAAGTGCTTACTATGTTATATATGTAGGCACGTATATGAACGCAGTGCACAAGAGAACGCCGCGTGCAGACACTCACTCACCAACTACTCGAGCGGCGTTTGAATAGTTTAGATGCATGGACACACAAAGCGGTTGTACGTCCGTCGGTTAGTTTATTGGTCAATCAGTCATTTGGGCAGTTTGTCAACTATTAAGTAAATATAAGTCAGTATGTTTTAATGTATGTGTGTGTAATATAGGTAGGTTTGTGGGTATACAAAAAAGACACCTTTCTTTTTTTTGTTTTTGTTACTGCTTTTTCTTCGTTTTCCTATAACTGCAGGCAATCGACTGAGCAAGGTATTATAATTTTGTGCGGATAACAGTGTTATTGAGTTAAAAATTTTGAGTGAAATTTTTATTGACATTTTTTTTTCTTAACTCGCTGTTGTACGAACCCAGGGTCATTTTATTTGGTAAGGATTTTTTAGTTATGCCAATCTTTAAAGGGATTTAAAAGGATGGCGGAGACATGTGTAGAAGACTACCATTCATCTGGGAGTAGCCGGTTCAAACAGTTTATGACCTTTTATACCAAGTGCTCTCTGACCAACAAATATTCGTTTGATGAGATGACCAATTTCCTTGCAAAGCCCAACAAAAAATAAAAAGCCTCGGATGAGAGGCCCACCATTTTGATGACGACAGCCGCAAATGTTTTAAGGATTACGATTTGAGGGCAGAAAACTGGTAAGCTCGGTTTCTTAATTAGTAAGGAGTGTCTCTCAAGTTGATCGATGTTCTCGCTAAACTAAAGACAGACCAAGAAGTGCGATGGACGAAACAAGCATGGTAGAAGATGTGTCTTTGTGAAATTTATTGCAGTAACCGTAAAGAGGAATGCGTATTTTGTGTTAAGTTTGTGGTGGAAAAGAGACTCCGTTGCCGAATACAGGCAGTCACCCCTGTGAGTGAACGTTGATGAGCTCCCACGCTTCGCTGGAAGTGAATCACGATTTGACTAAGGGTACCGTTTAAACACGCCTATGAACGCTTCCACCTCCGCTGGGTGAAAATTGTGCTTGGCGACTTTAACACTAGAATGGGAAAAGAAGGTGTATTTTTGACACAAAAGTCGTAAAATTCAGCCTTCATAACGAAAAATCTCTAAAGGTCTGAGACTGACCAACTTGCGATTGAAGGAAGACTTATTTCCGAGGTTGTTGATGTGCGTACGTTTAGGACCACTGTCTTGAACATGCTAAAATATGCACCCACCTCTGCGTATCAAACAACATCTCTCAACAAACACAATTAAGATTCCACGACGAAAAGCTTCTATTACAACAGAAAATCCAACGAATTTCTACTCGACTTGCACGCCTGGCCTTTGAGAGCACTTATCAGCAACTCGATAGAAGAGGACGACATCCAACTTCCCTAGGTTGTTATCTAACAGTACACGTGTGGGCTGGGATAGATATTAAAGAAATGGGATTTAATACGCAAGGCCGGAACATAGAGAATCAACTTGGAAAGCTGGTGAACAATGTCCCGTGCATACTTGAGATATGGAGGAACACCTTATCCAGCCTCCTGTATGGCAGTGAAAATTCAACATTCAGGAAAGACGAATAAAAACCCCAATCCATCATGATAGAAAAGACGTTCCATTATCTGAGTATACCGCCGTTCGAATAGCAATTGCCTGCTTGAAGAACAAAAAACCGACTGAAGTGGATGACTTACCGGCTGAGCTATTCAAACCAGAAGAGCTGAGAAGATGCATGCATCAGCATCTTTTCAAAGTGTGCTCAGTTTAAAAGCATGCACGACGATGTCAACCAAAGCGTGATCCGTGCAATCTACAGCCATGTCCTTCTCCACCTAGTTTTTCCAACGGAGTGGAGGTCTTCCTCTTCTTCTACTTCCACAGGCGGGTACTACATCGAAAACTTTCAAAGCTGGAGTATTCTTATCCAGTCGGATCACTTGGCCTAGCCTGACTAGCCGATGTTTCTTTATTCATCATTATATCGGCTGCGGTATTCGCCATTCCCAAGTCGTAGAGAACCATAAATCTTACGCAAAGTCTTTCTCTCGAAAACTCCTAACGCCGACTTTTCAGATTTTGTCATTGTCCATGCCTCCGCGCCATATAGCAGTACGGGAACGATGAGGGGCTTGTCGAGTCTGGTTTTCGTTCGTCGAGAGAGGACTTTACATTTCAATTTCCTACTCAGTCTGAAGTAGCACCTTTTGGCAAGAGTGACTCGGCGTTGGATTATCAGGCTGACGTTGTTGTTGGTGTTATTAATGGTTCCAAGATAGACGAAGTTTTCTACGACTTCAAAGTTATGACTGTCAACAGTGTCGTAGGAGCCGAGTCGCGAATGCGATGACTGTTTGTTTGGTGACAGGAGATATTTCGTCTTGCCCTCAACCACTACCAGACCCATTCGCTTCGCTTCCTTATACAGTCTGGAGACTTATGCGAACTTAACGCTTGCTTACTTGTACTATTTCTTATTGAAATTTTTTTTTTAATTTTTTTTCGAATCTTTTTCATTTTTTCGTGCGCGCAGCTCATCGTTTACCTAGCCAGCGACAGCGGCAAAGACGTTGACATATTGACATACATACACACATATTTATCCATAAAAGAGTATGAATGCACATAGATATGCACATATGTATGTATGCATGTAGGTTTGATTCAAAACACACGTAAATTTCGACGCTTCGCTGCCACAGCTGATAGACAGTAAAGTACAAACAAGCAAGTATAAACAGACTCGTACACGCAAATAAACGTAGCTACAAACGAATGCCAGTAAGTATGTTGATTTTGTGGCGCTTGCGTTGCCGCATAGCAGTTACACTACAACAACCGTAGACGCCGTAATCATCGTTGCTGCCACCGTTGCCGTTGAACTTGGCTTAGCTTTAGCTTTAGCATGGCTTGGTGTGACTTAGCTTTGCTGGGCTACACGGCGCAAGTGTAAGTGTATAAGCTACATATGTATGTATGTATGTATGTATGTGTGTATGTATGTATGTGCATACAGCTGTGTGTGCGCGCGCGACTTCATCAACTCAAAACGCAAAATTCAAATTTCAGTCGCTGCGCTCAAGTCGCCGTCGTTGGTTCGTTACTTTCGAAAATCGCTAACAAATCGCTACAACAAAAGATTTCAAAAACAAAAAATTTACAAGAAATAATGTAATAATAAAAATGAAGAAAATTTGAAACGAGAAAATTTAAAAATGTATAAGAAAAGTTTAAGGCAGTGAAAACAAAACAAACGAAAAAAGTAGAAAAAAAATAAATAAAATTTTTTAATTTTTTTCCATCTTTAAAAGATATCAATGCTAAAAGCGTGGGCGGCAAGAGAGAGCGTGTAGAGTGTGTTTGTGTGTTGGCAAAAATATTTCTATAACATCCAAAATAAGCATTGCAAGACACACCAAATACGAAAAGGAAAGGGAAAAAAGCATGCCTATAAGCAAGTGGAAAAGTAGTTAACTGCAACAAATACAAAAGTAAAAACAAAATAGTGAAAAAGTAAATTGTCCGCGTATTGAAGGTGAAAAAGCTGGAAATTTCTCGTTAGTGCAGCGTTTTTGTGTAAGTCGGAAATTGAATTAAAGCCAATAAGTATTTGAGTTTCAAGATTTTTTTTTTCATAAAAAATAATATTTTTTTAGTGGAGAAATTAAAAAAAAATTTCTTGAAAAATTTAGTTTTTTTTACGAAATAAAAATTTTTTTCTTAAAGAGTTATATTTTTTCTTAAAAAATTTAATAATTCTTTCTTGGAATATAAAAAAAAGATTTTGAAAAGTTTAAGTTATTTTTCCTAAAAAGATAATTTTTTTATAAAAGAAATTTAATTATTTTTCGTTAAAATTTTTTTTCTTGAAAAATTTAATTTTTTTTCTTGAAAAATTTAATTTTTTTTCTTGAAAAATTTTATTTTTTTTTCTTAAAAAGGGAAAATCTAAATTTTTTTTCTTGAAAAATTTAAAATGCATTTGTTATATACGTTTGTGTGCAAGTAAAGCAGTTTTAATTTCTGTTTTCTTTGTGTTTATATTTTTTTTGAAATATAAGATTTTATTTGAATTGATTTTTAAAACTTATAAGTCTTTTTATTTTTTTAATGAGTCGGTATCTGGCATTGGTGTCAATAAACTAGTGCGCGCCTGCGTATGAGTGTTCTCCTGCTCTTTAGCGGGACTCTGGTGCGTATGAGTACTCAAGAATATTGTGTGTTTAGTAAAATACTTAAGCACGTACATACATATGCATTTGCATATGTATAAATAAGCATTTATTCAAAAAAGTCCTTAGCCAAGATTTTTAAGGCGTTTTTTCAAAATATTCATTAACAAAGTACAAGTTTTTTAAATTTTTTAAAATAAATTTGAATTTTTTTTCTTAAATTTGATAATATTTTTGACAATAGAAATATTTAAAAAAAACTAAAAAAAATTAGTTGTAATTAAAACAATATTCAACTTATCCTTTTTCTTGTGTTATGTGGCTGAAATGTTTTCATACGAATGAATTGACCTACAATTCAAAACAGATTTTCTTTTTAATTTTATAAAAAAACTTTTATTTTTATTACAACAAAGTCCACTTACTTTGCATTTATAGTAAATTAGTATTCGCTTATTTTTATTTGAGGAAGTGTTTTGGTAACTTCCTTTCTTTTTACTGCTTTTTCGGGAAATTTTTTTTATTTGGAATGAATGAAAAAATAAAATTCAATGAGTTTTATTTTGTAATATATCATTAATTGTATCTCAGAGTGTAGAAAAACATTTTTATCTTTTTTGTATAATTTGTTGCCTCGTAGCACTAAAGAGAGCGTCTCCATTTTATTTGGTCGCTTGAGGTCATTTGGAATAGAAAAAAATTAAAAAAATATTGAGTTGTGAGATTGACATTCTGGTTAGAAGGAGGATTAGAAACCTTCCGTTGAAAGAATCAAAAAAAAAAAATGCCAAAATAATTTTAAGAAGAAATCGGGCTGTAAAATGCAAAGTTAGCGGTAAAAAAAGATCCTAGTTCCTTCGAAACCAATTGACGAATAGTATAAAATATTCAAATTTTAGTTCGTTCAGTTGGATAGAAATTCTTTTATACTCCGGGTCGATCGTAAGTATGTTGTTTCGAGTGAAATGCGTTTAAAGTTGCAACAACTTTACGGTCCAGCGCGTACTACAATTACGAGACACTCACGTATTAGATGATATAACTTCCTCAATATTTCGAATTTCATTCCAAAATTTATACAGTGTATTGTTAATGTATGGTACTTAAAAATAAGGCCATTTTTCCAAACAAAGTTACCAGACTATTAACTTAAATGTTTGGTGCTGAAGAATTTGATTCGCTAAATTAAATAGAAAAAAATACAATAGCAAACATATATATTAAAAATGAATAGCTCTTTATTAAAAAAAAGAAAGAAACTAACCATAATAATAAAAAATATAACAAAAAAAATTAAATTTAAAAAAAAAAATTATTAATAAGAAAGAAATATTTTTTTACAACAAAGAAGTTTAAACTAAGAAATAAAAAGAATCTGTACCGTAATCAGATTTATAAATATTCAAATGAATTCAAAATTAAAAATCTGCATAAATACTATATAATGAAATAAAAAAAATTTTATTGATTTCATTTTTAACATATTTTTCGTTCGAATATTTTTACTTCTTTATATCAAAATTTTGCCACTGTGTTCTTCACTATTTCTTATTACTTAAATTAGAGCAAAATAAATTTGTAAATAAAAAACTAAAGCGCTATTTATCAAAAAAAAAAAAAAAAAATTAAATTAAAATAAAATTAAAAATAAATTATGAGAATAATAATAAAATTAAACTAAAATAATAAATAAATAACTATTTTTTCAGAGAAAAAGAATAACAAAATTTGTTCTCAAACTAGTTTTTTAAATATTCGAAATAGTTCAAAATTAAAAATCCATATAAATATTTTTATAATAAAATAAATTAATAATAAACATTTTATTTTTAACATTTATTATTTTTCATACGAATATTTTATTTTGTTTAAATCATTTTAATGCTGTGTTCTGAACTAATTTTTATTACTTAAATAAAAATACAATAAATTTGTATATAAAAATTTTAAGGAATCAGGATACCCGGGTTGTGAAGTCCTTTTAAGAACTAAAACAAAAATTAATAAGAAAATAAATAAAAATTAAACTTTCATACATAACTCTCTGACCAATAACCAGTTCGAAAAACTTAGTGGAAGGCTTAAAAATAATTATTTATTTATATGTATATATAATAAAAATTTCGCGGATTTTTCTATATAAAAAGGGTAATTTTTCCATATAAAAGGTAATTAAATTTTTTGTTATAAAAACAAAAAAAAAATTTTTATTTAACAGTTTTTCTTCAATATTGATTTTTTATTTTTCCCAATAGATTACTTGATACATATTTCGAATTTTTAATAATTTAATACAGTATTTTGTTTATATTTCAAATTGGAAAAGTTTTGTGAAGACACTTAATGCATCTTACAAAATTCAATAAAAAATTGTAAAAAGTCCAAGGAAGGCATGAATTGCTATGATAAAGCCCTAGAAACAATAATGAATGAAATAATGAATAAAAAAATTTTTTTACAAAAAAAAATTTAATGTAATGAACATTTTTTTTACTACATGTTTTGGAAAATTTCCAATTTTTATTTTTTTGTATCTTCAATTTATAGTTTATTAGTGCTTTTGAAATAATTTAATAATAAACTTTCTTGAAATTCAACACATTTGGGCCATAAATATGCCATGAAAAAATTTCTCTGATCCTGTGGCTTCTTTTCCAGCTACTTAATACCCGTTTTGAATTTCATTAGGATTCTTTCATTATTTTTTTCTGTGACTCAAAAAAGGCAAAGTAAACTTCTTCTCAGAGTAAGTCTATCATTTAAGAGGTGGAAAAACATTTTTCCCTTTTGTTATTCCTGCAAATTCTACAGGTGTTGTTATAGTAACCGCAAACCTCTTCTCCAATTTTGGGAGTGACCGCCTTTAACCAAATAAAAATTCGGCTAGTAGTGGGAACTACTGGATTTTAGTTGACACTTACGATAGGCAAATTCCTGACTCCTTAACCCATAGGGGCGACGGTCTTCTGGTCTTTCTGCATGCCATTCTATAGGGTAATGGGCAATCAGAACCGCATTTAGCTCTCAAATGCTCTCCTTTTTCAGCAAATAGTTACCCATTACGGTAAACCTTGCCCACACTACTGGCAATGGCTGTTTTGTTACCAACTTTACCATTTAGCTTTTAATACATTATTTCCCTGGGAATTTAAATTTCGTTAGAGTCATACGTATGGATCTATATACGGAAATGTGCTTGATCTTATTTTGCATCTCGTCTGCCATGCAATCCCCCTCTTTTTGTATCTCAATGAGAGATAGTCTGTTCTGCTCAGGCTTCTATGCAAGAGAGTTGCGACCAGCAACCATTTGTGCAAGCTTCAATACTCCCGGTCAAAGTATCATATGGCTTATTTGTCAATTGGTGCAGTTAGCCAAAGCGGGAACTTAGCAGCCTGTGTTTTTGTTTTCTTAGATGAAGAACCGGCTGGTATAGGTGCTTATGTGACGCCAATTCTATAGATCGTATGTCAAGGAAAACATTTAGAGCTTTATTTGGTGTGGTTCTGAGCCAACCCTTATTCAACATAATGCTTTAAATCTTATCATAAATATATAGATCTATATTATTAGGCCATTTACAGTATTGTTTCTGGCACTTCAGTGCATTTCTTTTGAAGGCTTAAAAAGCGGTTATGATCTTTGCATTCTACTTAATTATATGCTCGTTCTAGCTCAGTTTCCTGTCCAGAGAGACTTTCAAAAATAACGCCTAACTAACTGACGAATTTTTTATTTCCAGCAGAAGAGAACAAGTTCCACCTTGATTATAGAGTTAGCAGAGAAACCAAAGCTTACGAAATTTTCCCTACAGTAGCTCATATAAAATTTGTCTCTGTATGCCATGTTTTTCTATAGATCGTCGGTGTAAGTAACAAAAGCATTTCGAGTAAGAAGTGAGTTCAATTTAAGATTAGATTCAAGAGTGTGGCTGAGAGAACACTAATCTGAGGTATGCTAGCTCACCTATGAACCACTGCAGTGTCGTAAGCATGAAAGATTTGAGGTCCTGAGAGACGCCTTTTCAGCTTTGAGGAAAATATCTTTAATTAAAAATTGTGATTACAACAAAAAAAAAATAAGAAAACAAAAAAAGAAAACCATAAAAAAGAGTAAAAAAACAAAACAACCAAAAAAAAAAAAAAACAAAAAAAAATATAAAAAGTCGATTTTCTTCAACTATGAACCGTAATAACGCATAATTAGCAACAAATAAAGAACGGCGAACGCAAACAACAAACAATAAACATTAAATTGTTGCATATAAAAATGTAATGTTTATAAAATTTTACGGTTGAAGTTAATTTGCAACGGTAATTAGACAAAAACAAACATATGCATATATGCACATATTCACATTTGTATGTATGTTTGTATGTATGTACGTATGCAGAGCGCAGACCA